ACTAGATTGTAATTGGATCCATCATGGTCATTTACTTATCAGTAGATTGTAATTGGATTCATCATGGTCATTTACTTATCAGTAGATTGTAATTGGATCCATCATGGTCATTTACTTATCAGTAGATTGTAATTGGAATCCATCATGGTCATTTACTTATCAGTACATTGTAATTGGATCCATCATGGTCATTTACTTATCAGTAGATTGTAATTGGATCCATCATGGTCATTTACTTATCAGTACATTGTAATTGGATTCATCATGGTCATTTACTTATCACTAGATTGTAATTGGATCCATCATGGTCATTTACTTATCACTAGATTGTAATTGCATCCATCATGGTCATTTACTTATCAGTAGATTGTAATTGGACCCATCATGGTCATTTACTTATCAGTAGTTTATCTTGTTTATTTACAGTATTGTAGAGGTTTGGCAGAGTAGTGGCAGTGGGTTATCAGTTTTAAGAACCTTCAGGCTTCTTAGGATATTAAAGCTGGTTCGTTTCATGCCAGCACTCCGAAGACAACTTGTGATTATGCTACGGACCCTGGATAACGTTGCAGTTTTCTTTGCTCTCCTAATTTTATTCATATTTATTTTCAGGTTAGTCTTGTTTGCTTATTTATACACAAGCTGTCAGTACACTTACTGAAAATCCTAATCTTTGGTACTTTTTAGAACAGTACAAATATTTTAATATCATCAGTTTAGTTGACAAATGTAAAAAAAAGCTTTAACTACTTTTTTCTTATTGTGAAAGGGCATGTGTAATTGAATCAGTATTATTGATGGAGATACATGTATGAGCATTACTTTTATCGATGAAAATTGTCCCTGTTTTACAGTATTGTAAAAATATAATTACTGAGGTGATTACTACTTTACAGCTACATCTACTTGAATTATGTTATGTGAATATAATATTCTGTGTTGACATGCAAGAAAATAGCTAAATAAGCAGTTAAACTACTTTTAATTCACAGTTAAATACACTTTTATGAATCAAATTCCTTTTATTTATGTGTTAATATATACATTTCATTTTTAATTGATTTTTGGCTTATTAAGTTTATCCAAGCAGTTATTTACATCTAAGACTACCTGTAATGAAATTACAAATTTATCTTCTATCGCTGTATAATGCTATATGAAATTTCTCTTTGATTAGTGACGTATCCTTATTTTAGTAAACACCGTGTCTAAGCTATTGCATTATAAATTTTCTGGATACATCTAACATTAAGGTTTGTCTATATAATAACATGAAACACATTATTCTCACATTAACACTTGGCTCATGTGGTAACTGCATGCATGAATTACTTAAATAAATACATGTGTGGATGTACTATAGAAAAATGTAAACATTCAAAGTTCCATAGAAAACTTCTAAATTCATCTACTCTGGCATTGTCATAAACTACTTGACCCTTGTGCGGACTTCATGCCAATTATCAAGGCATGGCTTCACTCCAGTTGGCAGTCGATTTAGGGTATGCAACACCGCAACAATCTTTTTAGCCGTTAATTTCTATAAGAGTTGGAGAGGGGAAGTTGTATTTTCTAGGCTCCTTAGTGGCCACAGTTTCCTTACTCATCATTTTCTTTTAAATGGGACTGATCTGTCAATCTGTAGCCTTTGTGACATTCAAGTCACAATTACCCCATCCCTTTCGATTGCCAGCGGTGGCACCATTTTAGACATATTTTGTCTCAAGATTTACCTTTGACCTTGGACAGTGTCCTTGGGGATAGTAGCAATGTCCAGATTGCTCATGTTTTTACTTTTTATGAGCTATTGGCCTTTTGAGTTGTATTTAAGTTTTTAACCTTGTTTGATAACAAAAGGACGGACATGATTCTTATTTATAAATTTTTATTTTCTACTTCTTTTACATATCTTACATTCCTTTTTTCTCACTCCTATGAGACTCTAATGTTTGGCATAGATGGCTCTAGTCCTTTATGCTTTAAAACACCTGAATAAAGAACCAATCAACTAAAACGTCTTTCTAATTCAGATATAAATTTATATAAAAGTACAATAAGATTGGTAATCAGTTTTTGAAAGACTGTGTATATGAGGGAATAGTTATGGATACTTTCACAAAGAAAAAGCTGTCACAGACTGCCATTCAATTGGTCAAAACATTTCTCAATCATTAAGACAAATTATTTTAGTGTTAGCAAGGAATTCTGAATTTTTATACGTTTGATAGTATGGGTACCATTCACATGTATGCATGTAAAAATGTATTAAAAACACTTTTAAGTTTTTAATACAGTTTAATACACATACATTCATAATTAATTTTATACAGTGTAAAACTGACAGCAAAAATCATTTAAACATCAACAACTATATAAACAAGTAGATTTAAGTAAACTACAGTAATAAAGTACGTGTGGAAAATTTCTTTATGTTTTCAGAATTTTAATCTGCTGTTGTCTATGATTGTTGTGAGTTTGCTATATTCTTCTTATTTTAGTCATTTCTTCTATTTGTACGGTATTGCATGCTAATTTGGATAAGTAGTTTCTGTGTAGGGCTGCTATCCTTTTTTTCAGTCTGGCTGACTGTTCTATTATTGACATGTTTTTTCATATTTTGTACATGTACATCTCAAGTTACAACCAACAATTTTTGTTTTATAAATTATATAAGATTAGTAACTAAAACTGCAGATGTATGCAAGATATCTTGCATTCATCTAAAATGTACAGAGTAGCTTGTAATATGATGTTATTTTAACGCAGGAGGAATGTGTGAGAAGACGCATGTTTCCTGATTACTTATGATTTATTTGCCATCCTTATATTTTGTTCAAGAGTTTGAGTTTATTAACGAATTCGAACCATTATGTGATATTCAGTGTCCTTTGTTACTGTTCTTTAACAGCAAAAAAAAGTAAAATGTTTGTAGTAATTTATGATTTAAATTTTGCTTTCATTTTTCTTCATATCCGTTTTAAATGACAAACCGTAAAGCAAACAATTTTAAGCGTAATATTTGTACTTAGTCTGTTTATTGTAAATAAAATATTAATACTTAATTAACAACATACAAATGTATTTCAAGATATTTAGAATATTTGATATGATCCTAAAATGCTTTGGTATATGTGGTATCATTGTTTTATATTAAATTAGGTTATTAATGTATATCTTCATTCAAGGCTCATCAACACAGCTTAGGTTAGCAAACCAAAGAAATACAGTTAGGCCTCTTATAATGGCAATGTGTATATAATAGTTATGGGGTTTTTGAGTCCTTTTTTAACTCACCATTTAGTAACCTAATGTAATTAGGCATGTGAATAATATTATGATATTATGCCTAATTTATTATTAATATTATACAGTGGCCCAGCCTTTTCATGATTATCTTACAGATTTCTTTTCACCAAAGATACAATAGAAAATCAAATCTGTGACCCTAGTTGTGCTGTTGATCCTTGAATAGGCAAAACTGCAGTCCACAGCAGAAGGTACGACCTATTAAAGAATGTCTTAGAGATTTGGGTCACGGATTCTCTTTTCAATTTTATCTTTGGTTAGAAAGAAAATAAATCTACAACATATATATAATCATTAAATAGTTGTTCTGCTATATAATATTGAATAATGAATTAGGCACAATATCATAACATTTGATATACCAAAATTAATTTAGGTTATTGTATGGTGAATTAAAAAGTATTCAAAACCCCATTATTATAATAGAGTTTGTTAAATTTGTTTAAAGTTCTTCTATCATGAACATTTTAGTTTAACATTTCATTAACAATAATGAAAACTGGAAAATTTTCTTTTAAATATACTTTACCACTGTCACATTAACATAAAATAATGTTTAGGCACAACAAGGGACCTGTTGGGCCATCTTGGCTGTCCCATTCTCCAAACTAAACTAAAACTACCAAATAAAATAAATTACAAAAATAAAATAAAAATCTTAAAGCCAGCCTTATCATTCATATAGTTATCATGCTTTCTCTTAAACTCACTTAAATGTATTGCCTCCACAACATCCAAAGTCAACCCATTCCAAAAGCCAACCATTCTATTAGAAAAATAAAACTGTCTTAGCTGAAGATGACTCCTACCTTGTCAACATTTATATTTGTGTCCCTTAGTCCTACCATTATCACTATTAAGCATGAAAAGAAGATGATGCATCAACACTATCAATTCCCTTTACAATCTTAAACACCTCAATCAGATCCCCTCTAATTCTTCTATTTTCAAGAGAAAACAATTTGAGAGATTTCAATCTCTCCTCATATGATAATCCTTCCATTCCAGGCACCATTCTGATAACCCTCTTCTGAACCCTTTCCATCAATTCAGTGTCCTTCTTAAGGTAAGGAGCCCAAGACTGCACACAATACTCCAAATGTGACCTATACAATGAAATTATAACCACTTCAGACTTGTATTCACTATTTCTGTAAATACAACCTAAAATTCTATCTGCCCTCACCACTAGCAACAGCTTGGATGCCTTAAAAGACTGATCATATATTACACCAAGATCCCTTTCTTTCACCTGTTTAGGTTATTCCTATCCAAATTATACTTATAATTCAAGTTATGATAACCCACATGCATTATCTTGTATTTATTATAATTGAAATCCATCTGCCATTTATTTACCCAATTCACTATAAATGATCTAAATCCTTTTGTAAATTAGCAGCATCCTCTTCACAGTTAGCAGCACCTAAGACCTTAATATCATCAGAAAATTTAAGTAACTTATTGATCAATCCTTCATCTATGTCACTGATTTAAATAAAAAAAACAAAGGTCCTAAGACTGAGCCCTGAGTTACCCCGTTTGCGACATTAATCCAATTTTACTGAACTCCATTTGTAACAACCCTCTGCTTTCTTCTACACAGCCATTCTTCTATCCAATTTGCTAACACTTATCCCTCACACCTATAGAAATAATTTTTTTACAAGCCTCTTATATGGCACCTATTCAAAGGCTTTCTGAAAATTCAGATACACCAAATCTACACCCTTACCCACATCTACATAAGCAATAACCTTTTCAAAGATTGTCGAAAGATTTGTAAGGCTAGTAGAATGTTTAATTACTACATCCCAGAGAGTCCACTCTCCATCCAATCTGTGTTATTGTACCTTCATGTTCTTTATTCATATTATCAAAGAGCAAAAAGTATGTACTTAGTTTTAAGCCTAAAACACACGTTTACATTTAGAACTTCAAAACATTTTGTTGCTTCCTCTGGCTCTACATATTTTTATAGGATGTTATTGGGCTCTCTTATACACTAAGATAAATAAAATAATACATTATTTAGGTTATTTGTCTCTTTTTGTATGCTAAGATGAATGAAACTGCAGTCTAATAAAAGAAAAACTATAACTAGCTAATTTACGATTGTGTTTAATTTTTAATCATGAAAATGGTTATAATATCTAACAAGATTAAGACAACGTGTGTGTGTGTGTCATAGTATCTAAGAAGATTAAGAAGAATTGTGTGCATACATAAACTTGTAGTCAATTTTAGATCATATTATTTGGTATACATTGTTATGTATTATCTAAGAATGTATAATAAAATGTAATTGTTTAGGCCTAGATATGAAAACCAAATGATACAAGTAATTCATTTACTCTCACTTGGTCCGGCATGGCCAGGTGGTTAGGGTGCTCGACTCGTAATCTGAGGGTCGTGAGTTCGAATCACCGTCCCTCCAACCATGCTCACCCTTTCAGCCGTGGGTGCATTATAATGTGTCGGTCAATCC